TATAACTAAAATCTTGGACCCAACTTGGTCCTATAACCATTTAAATTTTGCTTTGATCCCACTGTTAACCCTTTACATTCCAACATCAGTATGCATATTCGCCATAGCCCATTTCAGAAAGGTGAGAGGACTGGGAAAGAGTGTGGTTGTTTTCCGTTTGTTTGAAAAACTAAGATATTCAAATGAAAGATCAACTAAATTTGAGAATCTTAAGCAAGAAAAGAAGTATTTAGAGGAGGGACATGGCAAAATGACAGCTCTTCAAATATCACCTAAAAAATTAGAGAGTTTGTATGGATTGGGTAGATAGGCCAAAAAATTTTAAGGCTTTGTATGGAATTCTTGCAACTTTTGCAAGGCTCTGATTTGGACACTTTTCCGCTGAAAACTCTCAAACTTGACTGGGTAGCTTTTCATTCAGTAACATTTCAGTTGAAATGTTTAGACTTTCAATGTAATCAATATAAGAAACTCGTCCCAGTCCTCTCACATTTCTGCAATGGGCTATTCTCTAATACATTTCCTATGATGCTGGCAGGCAGAATTTGTCTACCAATCAAGAGCTTCTTAATTGGTGATCATTTCATTTATTCTTGTGACCTTTATGTTTGATTCAGGAGTGATATTGTTTAAGTGACCAAGACAGAACTTCTTCTTACAATATCAATACAATATCAAGCAGACAAGTGATGAGAATAAAGAAAAATATCAATGTGGGGATAATTAGTTGATCCAATACCAAATTCTCCAAACTCAAATCATAAGAATCTTTTCCCTGCTCATTTAACTTGAAAAAGTTGCAAACCGCTACATTTCTGGGACCCTAAGTGATCATTGTCCCCGCGGTTCCCTCCCCACTTCACCCACATTTTACTTTAAACTACCCTACATTGGCCGTTTTTCAGTCGTCACTCAGAAAAAGATTCGTCACCTTATCAAGCGCTATTGCAATGATTTGGATAACAAACTAGTTTTTTCCTCCTTTAAGATAGGCAACATGTTTGGCGTGAAGGACCCTGGCCCTGGCGGGTTTCGTTCGCGTGTGGTTTACAAGTTTGCATGTGCGGGCTGTAATGCCTGTTATGTCGGCGAAACTAACATTTTCACGCCTTGTGTTCAGTAGATTGTTTCCATATCTTAGATCACGCATCTACGAGTTTCCAACTCAAGATAAAAGAAGCTATTCACATTCAAAGAGAACAACCTTCTTTGAATCAACAATTACATCGTGTAAATCTAGAGCTATCCTTAAAATTTTCGCATTGTCACGTTTCCTGTTGTTACTAGCTTAATTCGCATGTACTTATAAATTCAACTTGTAACGCTTTGTTAATCAACTGAGTAAATTTTAATTTATTGTTTTGTCAGTATCTCACTCACACACAGGAATTCAATTGAATGTTGTTTTGTCAGTATCTCGCGCACACTTAGAATTACATTTCAATCGACTGTTTCGTTAGTATCTGGCGCACACTTAAGATCACACTGGAATAATATTAATAATAATAAAGTAGATGCTTATAGGGCGCATTTCTGATCTCAATGCGCCTAACAACAGATTATTATAAGAATAAGTAATTAATTAACAGTAATGTTTTTTAAACGAAAATGTCTTAAGCTTAGTTTTGAATGTTTCTACTGTTTCCGCTCTTTTAATATATTCGGG